GACTTTGCATTTCACCCCTCCAACTTTTCATTTCTTCAATTGAGTCCTTTCTCTCATCTTCTTTTCCAATCTTCTTCGTAAAATTTCCTTTTTGCATGTAGCACCTTAATGCACTAAAATCACCCTAACAAGTGTACTAATCGCTCCAAGTAATATAATGATGAGAAGAGTGTCGAACCCACGAGGATTGTATCTAACTAAGTACCAAAATAATTAATCCAAATTTATTTGAACAACCAAATGGGAACAAAGTTTAATTAAAAAAATAATAAAGGGAAAATAATAATTAAATTAAACCTAACCAAGATATAAGGTACTAAGGCATTGACTTCACCATAATCAATCAATATAAATTATGGATTACCAAATTGTTGAGTGTTATTGCATGTAATGACGGATTTCCCTAAATTAATTAATTAGCTTTCTCAAGTCAAGTTAATCCTTCACTGGTTTGTTAAATTAATCATATCTCTATGTAATTTTAAACAAACTAATGAGCATTAGATTCTATGAAACCTTTAGCTTAAGAAGGGGGAGCTACTAACTCTCTTCTCTTCCTCCACTACCACATGTGAGCTAATTACCTCTTGGTCTCATAGTCTAGCACATGGTTTATATTATTATTGGTCTAATCTACGCAATTCTTTCTCAAGTTCATGCATAAATCACTAAATCAATTGAAAAATGATCAGACTTCCAATGCATTAAGTTTAATAATATAAACTCCTCATGTAAATAACTTTAATTGAAAGTATAAAATCACTAAATCCATATTGAATTGATTAGGCTACATCGTAACCCTAGTAGAATAAATCAGTTCATAATAAAAATAATAAAATATGAAATCAAAGTTATGAACATTCAAATATCAAACAATAGATAAAAATCTAAGAAAAAACAATCATTGATCTCTTATTGTTGAATCCTTTATCTTGACCTCCAATAATGCCCAAAAAAGGGCTGCCACTAGCCTCTCCAAACTTCCCATTAATTCTGAATTTGGATGGGTATTTATAGGATTTTAGAAACCCTAATTGAAATGAAAGTAGGACTTGGAACAGAAATAGGAAATTGAATTTTGGATGCTGATCGTGTGGTGCTGACACTTCGGATTACGTGTTGACACAAAATAAGAAACAGAATTTGATTCTGGACGTTTAACGCATAGTGTCGACACCCCGGTTACATGTCGACACTACACCCGTGTTGGGTTTCTGGTCTCCTTTTGTAATTTCTTCAATGGTAAAATAGCAGATTTGGTTCTTGACTTCTGGATTTTGCACAAGTTGATCCTCAAGTCTCTAGTCTCTTCAATTTACTTCTAAAAAGTAGGATTTCTTCCAATTAAATCCTTTCCTACACAAAGAATGAAAACCATGTAAAATCAAACAAAATCCCATAAAACTCATCCAAATATCAATAATATCAAAGTAAAAATCCCCTATTAATATGTATATAAACTTAGCTCATCACACCTGAAACAAAATAAAGATATATTAGTCAAAGAAAAGGAAAATTTTCATATTTTTATATTTTTGATTTTTTTTTTTGATAAAAATTTGAGTTGTGACAGTATGGAATTGGATTTGTTATTGGTATCAATATTTCTCTGTTCTGTGGCAAGAATTATATACAGCAATGACCTTGCTGCTCTGTTTCAAATGGTTGCTGCCTTGTTGGGCCCTAAAAAAATTCCGAGTTTCCATATTGTAATTTGCGAATGCATGTTTTATGTCTTATCTTAATATATCAAAGGTAAAACTAGGGGTGGTAATTTCCCTTGACCTCAGCAAGACTTGGAGGGATTCTTGTCACTGGGACAGGGTGGGGAGGGGATGGGGGGCATTATCTCCAGTGAAATTTTACGAAAATTTTCCCCGCCCTACGGGGATTCCCATCCCAGCAAAACTTTAAAAAATATAATTAATTTTATTTTAAATTTAATTCATAATGGCATTATGAGTTTTGAAAGCTGTTTTTGCCAAAACCCCAGAATCCTCCACAGACTCCCCCAAATGGCATGACTAAATATTCATAATGCCCTTCATGAGTTTTGAAAGCTGTTTTTGAAACATCTGGTGGATACATTCTAATTTGATGGTATCCCAATCTAAGATCAATCTTAGAAAAAATTTTCGATCCTTGCAGCTCATCTAACAACTCTTCAATGAGGGGTATGGGATATTTATCCTTCACAGTCTGCTTATTTAGAGCTCTGTAATCTATACACATGCACCAAGACCCATCTTTCTTCTTAACCAGAACTACAGGTGAGGCAAAAGAACTTACACTATGCTGGATGATACCTACTTGTAGCAATTCTTGAGTCATCTTTTCAATGAAATCCTTCTACACTCCTACATATTTGTATGGCCTTTGATTAATAAGATCAGTTCCTTCCTTTAAACAAAATTTATGATCATGAACTTTATGGGGAGGAAGGCTTTTAGGTTCTGCAAAGAGATCAGCATACTCTAATAATAATTTCTCTAATTCAAGACAAGTTGAAACCTTCTTGGAAGCGTTTTCAACCTTATTTTCTTCAATTTGCCAAGTGCCACACCCTATAACAACATCAACAATCAGACTACATAAATGAATTGAGCTGGCCTATCCTTCCTTTTTAAGCAATCTCACCATGCCTTTATTGCCAACCATCTTTAAAGACACCTGAGAGGATCCCCTGAGTACATACTTTTGTCCATTGACAGCAAACTCCATGCGTAAAGTCTTAAAATTCCACAAAATGTCACCTAAGGTCTCTAGTCACTAAATTCCCAACACCATATCACAACTACCAAGAGGTAAAATTAATGTATTAGTACGAAATGGTTTACCTTGTAACCACCAAGTAAAATCTTGGCACAAATGGACACATTCCAATGAACTTCCATCAGTTACATCAACTTTCAAAGCCTCAACAGCTTGTAATTTACAGCCAACCCTTTTTGCCACGTTAACATCTAAAAAGTTATGAATACTACCAGAATCAATGAGTATGTGAATAGGTTTCTTATTCACATATCCAGTTACCCTCATTGTATGGTAAGCTCCAATGCTGCCTCCAGATAATGCATGAACAGACATGTGTGGATTGGAGTCATCTGGAAGTTCTTCTATGGCTTCCTTAAAGACTTCCCCTTCTTCTCCTTCATCACCCTCAACATCTTCAATGGAAAATAACCGCATATTTTTGCATTTGTGACCATTGGTGAATTTTTCATCACACCAATAGCATAATCCTTTCCGCCTTTGTTCCTCCATCTCTTGTCTGGTAAGGGGCTTAATATGTTTGGGAGAGGGGTTTGATGGTCTAGTGTTTGGGTAAGGTAATTTGGTAGAGTTGGTAAAGGTAAATGTTTTTGTAGTAGCATTAGGTGTCTAAGGATGAGTGTTTGGTGTAGGTAATAAGGGTGTAGTTGGTTTGGGTTGAAGTTTACATGTTAAAGATAACTTTTGTGCCTCATGAATAGAAGACTCTTATAGCCGGGCTAAAGCATAAGCATCATAAAGAGTCTACGGTTTAAACATCCTCATTGAAATTTCTATCTCTCTTCTCAATCCACCAAGGAAAAAACTCACTGCTTGTTTTTCATTTATTCTAGTTCGAGGGAAAAGAGTATCAAATTGCTCTTGGAATTCTTCCATTGTCCTAGTTTGCTTAAGTGAGATCAAATCAAACATGGGATCCTCATAAGCCTTCTCACCAAATCTAGCCTTAAGGCCCTCAACATATTCTTCCCAATTTGAAAGCACTTGCTCTCCTTTAATCTCTAAAAAGATTGATGCCACTTCATAGCCTTTCCCTCAAGATTTATTGAAGCCAAATGAGCTTTATGTTCATCAGGAGTACCATCAATTCTAAAACATTGATTACATTTATACAACCAATCTTTCAATTCTTCACCATTGAATTTGGGAAATTCTATCTTGGTAGTTTTGGAGGTAAGTGGTCCCATACCTACATTTGAAGATGAATTCCCATAAATTTGAGATCCTCGAGAAGTTGAAGAAGTATCAATTTGTGCCATGATCTGATTTTGTTGCACATTCAGACCTAACATTCGAGTTCTCAAATCTGACACTTGCTTTTCATACTTTTCCTCCATGGCCTTAAGTAGTTGTTCATAATGTCCACCCATGTCAGCCATGGTTGTTTTAACAACATCATCAATCAGTTTCTTTTGTTCTTGTAAGTGAGTTTCCATGATGCCAGGAACTTGCTTTGATACCAAATGATACCAGTAAACAGAATTTTAAGGAATACAAGGAAAATCCACAAAAGAAAAAGGATCTTTGATATACATCCTTTGCAATATAGTCTGGAATACAAGAGAATTATAAAGGAATTGAAGAAGATTGAAGAACACCAAAATAACTAAACACCCAACAAAGATTTAACAAAACACGTTTATACTAACATATGCCACCTGTTATTTAACTGACACAAACCAACAGTAATTGATATGCCACTTGCACGTGACGTCTAAGTTTTTCTGCACATCAAAACTCTTGTCCCTTGCACAATGCAAACCACGGGAGTGGGACCATCTTGGCCAGAATAGAGACAAACGACGGGGAGGGGATAAGTTCGGTTTCTGGCTTGAGGAGTTTTGCCGAAAATGTGTCGAGCCCTACCTCGTTTTGTTAACACAATGTCGTTTAGGGCTGGGTTTGTGTTTTTATCCATCAGTTCTACTTGCTTGCCTCTTTAGTCCTTCAATTCTTCCCTTGTCTTGATTTGGTCCCTACACATCAAAACCTACATTTTAAATATTTTTTAATTGAGTTCAAAATAGCATTAAGCCAAATTAATCTCAATTTTTCTTTGTCACATTTTTCGTATTATTTTCCCCGTCATATTAAACATTTTGAAAATTTTCATCTAAAACTTGAAAATTTGAGGAGAATTAATATTTTTAAAAAGTCAAGATTTTTTTCTTCTTTTTTCTTTCTTTTTTTTTATATATATTTTTGAAAAAAATAAAAGCTAATAAAAAATTAAGTTATGACAATATCTGAGTAGGAACACTCACCAACTACTATGAGATTCCACATTGACTATCCTACTAAATATGCCAATAAAAAAAAAAAAACAAAAATCTCAAGGATTTCAAAAGATCCAATTTCGAGGTATAAAAGTGGAGAAAATATAGACTCCAATCACAATTGTTCATTTACAAAAAGAGAAAACAAAAAAAACGAAAAAGAAAAAGAGAAAGGAAGAACAGAGATTCAAAGAGATGGCCAATGCAAAAAATATTACAGCATTTGCTCAACCCTCCTTTATGGGACTGTTATGTTTGGTTTTGCTGTTGACTTCAGGTATAATTTCTCTCTAAAACCTTTACTAAAATTTCTACCTAAAAGATCATGAAAGAGGCGATTACTCAAGTCCATTTTGATTTCATACATACGAGTTGATGGTATTTTAGTTTTTTGATCATTCAATCATTAGGGGAAATGGTTGGTGTGAATATGGATGCCAATATATGTAACTGACTTGTATAATTTTTGCAAGACCAGCATCTGCAGTGAATACACCAACTTGCTTGGGACCTTGTTCAAAGGTACCAAATTGCAACGGCAGATGTGTTGCGAAAGGATTTCCTAAAGGAGGTGTTTGTCTAGGATTCAGGGGATCAGATATGCAATGCTGTTGTACTAGTTGAATTAAATTAGAAACATGTCTTTTTTAAGGCAATGGAATAATTTGGAACCCTTACAATCTAAATTATGAAATAAAATAGAACAATTTTCTTTAATTAATAGATTCTTCTATTTCTCTATATATATATATATATATATAGAAAAAGTGTATATCAGTCTCAATTTCTAAAAATAATTAGAGTTTCAATCTTAAACTATATTATTTTATTTAATTAAAACTCAATTCAAAATTTAAAAAATTATATTATTAAATGTTGATATATTAAAATATATAATGAGTTTCTAAATTTAAATATCAATCTTTAATAGGATAAGATTTCAATTTCTAGATTTAGGTGGTTGGAACTCCAATTATTTTTAGTAATCGAAATTAATACACACTAAACTCATATATGCATATATATGTAGTCTTTTCTGAGTTCTTTTGCATATTAAATTTGTTATTTTATTCATGAAACGTTTTTTTTTTTTTTTT